TTACAGCAAGCCAACTAAAATTACATATACATGAGTAGACCTATAGGCTTTTATATCTCAGATATTTTTTTCAGTGACTCTCCTGTAAGTTTCAGACACAAAGAGAAATGCTGAGTAGTTACATAAACATCCACAAAATCCTACCAGCTATTACTCTCACTTCTGGTTAAAAAACAGCAAAGATTGTTAAAGGAAGTCAAGGCCAAAAACGATTTCTTGTAGAGGTGTTAGAGTATCTTGGCCACCTGAGGAAAATAAGTTGAGGCTAATAGCATATCTCTTTCACCAACAGAGAAGGCAATCATATACAACACTATAAAAACTTCTATATGCCTGACTTTATTTGCTTTTCAAGACGTTACTATGTGATAAACACACAGGTGGTATTATTCTCATGTTCAAATAAAGGAAACAGATAAATAGACAGAAAAGCCACAAAATTTGGAGCAGGTCCCCTGACTTAAGAAGCACTACTTTTTCCATTACACTGTATTATATTCTCATTTTTCTGTTTCAGGATAACAGCCATACTAATCACCAATGCTACAACATGACAGAGTGGAATCCTTAGTAGCCCTCCTCTTGGGTAGGTTTTGACAAGTAAAGCAAGTCAACACATGAAAAGTACTTAGAATAACGCCTGCCAGTTATGTGCCTCTGTGTGTGTGTGTGTGTGTGTGTGTGTGTGTGTGTGTGCGTGTATTAAAATGCGTATACTGGTTATGTTTCGCCTGCCAGTTATGTGCCTCTGTGTGTGTGTGTGTGTGTGTGTGTGTGTGCGTGTATTAAAATGCGTATACTGGTTATGTTTGTATGTGGAAATATGTGTGCATATATATGCACATGTGTGCTAACATGCATAGATATATATTCTAGCACACACACGTACAACTTGAAAAGGGATAAGTAAACAATAATTAATATAACCATGTTGGCTATTCAGATAGGTCAGCTATACCAGACCTCTAACTCTAGAAATTTTAAAAAAAAAAAGTTGTGTTTTTTTAAAGCTTTTCTTCGGTTTCTTCATCCACTAGTCTTGGGTAATAGACATGTTTCTAAAAACTTCTAAATCCCAGATCTAAAGTCGGAAAAGCAGAACTTGCCTTAAGAATATGATCTGTGAGGCAGACAGGCAAAGAGCTCCCCTGCTCCTTGCCCAGCCGGATTACAAAACCAGAAGGCATTCATTCAGGTACACCAGTCTAAGGCATATGTTTCTGCCTCAATATTCTGGGCCTCACGGCCCTCCTGTCAACTAAAATGCATTTGGAGGAGGAAAAGGACGTGTCCCAGTTTCACAACCCACTCCCAGTTCAGGTCTTGGGCAGGTCAAATTTTCTACACCCCTTGAAGGTCGTTTTTCACCTTCAAAGGAAGACAATGAAATTTCCAAACTAGGAGAAACTGTGCAGGAGGGGGCGGAGTGTGTGGGGGGGGGGATTGGCACTTGCTCATCACCTCCTCCAATCCCTGGGTGCCGGCGTAGCCCTCAGTGCCAGTGAATTTACAGTGCAGTCGCCCGCTGGGCTCGTGCGGCCACTGTGGGAGTTTAGTTGCCTGGATGGCGGAGAGTCACCAAGGACACTTAATTCATACAACTGCGGGAAGGAACGAAGAGCTCCAGAAGTGCTTAAGAGGCAGAAAAGTGTGTGGAGATGAGGAGGAGTTGAGGGAAGGGAAGAGGAGAGATACCATAGAACAAGCCAAATTGATTCCAGAACTTGGGACTGGGCAAAGGGAGAGGAAAGGAAAAAAAAAACTAACAACTCCCGGCAGCCGCTTGCTCGCGCTCAGTGCTCCCGCGTTGCGCCGCGTGCCGACCTCATCTCCGCTCCGGACCCCGGAGCTGGAAGCGGCCGCACTGTCTCATCCACCTGACCAGGCTGCACGCCCCGGGCTGGCGGAGGAGAGTGCTGGCCGACTGCGGGTGGAGGGAGGAACGGGAAGCGCCAGACCCCCGAGGCCGCTCTGGGACTTTGGCCCTAGGAATGGGGTCGACAGGGGCGAGGAGAGGACGGCACTTCCCGGCCTCTTTTCTGTATGTCACTGGTTCTGGGCGTGACCGGTCCTGGGTGCTCAAGGTTTTCCGGTCCGGGATCGCGCTTGCTGGGCAGGGGAGGGAAACTTGACGGAGAACAGGCAGCGCGGTTCAGAGGGCCAGCGGTGCGGAACCCGGGCGCGCGACGGCGGCCACGCGTCTGTGCTGCAACACGCCGAGCTCTGGACGTCGGAGGGCCGCAGAGCGCAGGAGTGGGCCGCCGGGACCTTGAGACTTCCCCGGGGAGAGGCCGATTTCGGTCTCGGCTCTCCAGCGCCTGCGACTCGCGCAGAGAAATGTCCGCGTCCCTCCCCGGGCCCTCTGGTTCCCGCAGGCCTACGGGGAATAGGCTGTACCCAGCAAGCACGTACTGGGAAATACAAGCGCCCACCCACCCACGCCCTGGAGAAGAAAAAAGAGAAAAATGAGAAGGATTCAGAGACCAATCCGAGAGCAGGCCCTAGGCGCCGTGTCAATCAAGGCATTCTTCCACTGCTTGGAACATCACAAAAGCGGGTGCAGCAACCGGTTGGCTATCCTTTTCCCCAGCCTTTAGGACCTGTGGTTCCGGCACTCGAATTTTCGGGCCACCTGCCTGGACTTCATCAGACCAGCTTGGCTTGATACCTGCATGGCCCTGTGACCTTGTTTCCTTGGCAGCTGACATTTAGGCCCATGGCCACAGCAGGCGATCTCAGCTAGCTCAGCAGATGGGCGGTATTATGGAATCCTAGAAACTCACCTCTGAGAAGGTTCAGACACAGGAGAGGGTTACAATACATCTGAAAGCTTGCAGATGCAGCATTAAAATAAAACATTTCTGAGTTTGCCTTGGCTGAGGGCAAAATTAGCTTTGGGCATCCGTCCCCTACTGCTTCTCGCCAAAACGGTCTTGTGGGCAGATTGCTCAGCATAGTACCCATCCCTAAACTGTCTGCCACGAACACACCTAACTGGATCACCTGGGCAGTTGCTCAGCCAAGGCTCGGCTTTCTTCCTGATCGTGTGATTAAGTTAATGACCATACAAAAGAAAACACAGGGGAGGCTTGCAGAGTGTATACATGCATCCCGCAGAAGATATGATTCCAGACTATAAGGAAGCCCTTCTCAAAAAGCAATGTTTGTTTACCTTTTCCTAGACCTTAGTTTACCCATGTCTGAATCCCCAACAGATAATGAAGCTGCATTAGTAAAAAGGAGATTCCAGAAGGATGGGGTAGGGAGGAAAAGGGCATTCAAGCTTTTGGGGTTTTGTTTGTTTTTTGAAAGTTAGGCCCCAGGACAACCTGTATGAGTTTGTTTGTTTGATTGTTTTCCAGAGAGTTTTGCTCCAGAGATCCACTAGCATCCCAGGCATGAACAATTTAGTCTACCTGTCAGATATTGTGCTTTAAGAATCTGTGGAGATCCATCTCCCATTTGCCCCCAAATAGCTTCCTCACTTATTGCCACCAAATTTTCTTCACAGCCAATCTTGGTCTTTCTGTAGAAAGCCTCCTTTAACTTCAATTGGAGCCTCATCAACTCATCAGAAAAAAAAAAAACTCCCCAGTGCTAGAAGTACTTTTAAAATAGTAGAACCTGACTCAATAATTTTGCAGATGAGAAAACCAAGCTGCAGGTAAATCAAATGATGTCAGCAATAATGCAGGATCACATTTGTCATGAATAGCTGAGGCAGGACTGGAATTTTGGACTCTTATTCTCACCACACTTTGTTGGGGAAGAGAGTATAATATCATCTAACTATTGCCTAAGAAAACTGAGAGCAGGCCTCAAAGAAATGTAGCACGAAAAAGCATTTGGATGATTGTAAGGAAGACAACTTGTTTTTTCACCAACCTGGGTCACACTTTCCTTACACCGAGTCTTTACCTCTCCTTGCTCTAATTATAACTTATTTTGTAATAGTCTTAAGATAATTAAGACTTTAAAATCCTTTTAGGGAAAGCCACTGAAAATCCTGTAATGAGACCTTGTGTAAGTTTCCCATTGCAGACCTTTCACAAGTGTCCTCCTTGAGAAATAGGGGAGGACTGGCAGAATGTGAAGGAAAGAGGAGAAAAAGGGGAAAACTACCACTGATAGCTAAACTAGTGTTTCAAGAGCATTTACAGAGTGACTATGGAGATGCCCACAGATTAAGTGCATACTACTCTAAGACCTAAAGGATCAGCACTTCTTTTTATGCCTAATGGTTGCTGGGCATACGACATGCACCTACACATGTATAGTACATTTAACTAAGAACTGTTGTCAGCAGATCAAGAGTACAGAGGGACTTTTCATTAAGGGAATGTTGGGGAGAGGAGGAAAGATGTCACATTTTTCTGTATTATAATGTTTCAGGACTAGTTTTTTCCAGAGGCTGTGTAGCTGTCGAAGCTGTTAGAAGAAAAGCTGTGCCCTGCAGTACATAGACTGCCTTCAAACCACAGATATTTCACCCTGGTATCTAGAGAAACTCTCTGCAGGGTCTCTAAATAGGTAATGACAGAATGCTACAGGGTTCTAGAATACAGAATACTCTTCCATGTAGTGTAGGCATCACTAGTAGAACCTAAAATGGGCTTTCATCTGATCTCCCAGATCCAGGCCTGAAAGTTACTTGTGTCTGGCCATTTGTGAAGGTGCTAATTTATCCTGCTGCTGAAAAGACTGCTAGCATCCTAGTGACAGGTTAGCTGCATGGCCAGCATCTTTGTCTGAATGATTTGTCTTTGATCAAAACAACAACAACACTTTTCAGTTAAAGATTTTCAAATGACAATCAAAACATTTTCTCACTTTTAGGCTCAAAATTGGATGATTGCAAATGGGACAAGCTTTATCATTTTTCTCTGCTGCTATTTCTTCCCTTCTTTTCAGAGATTCAACGAACATAAATGGTATCTACTCAATGTATAGCCCTTAGCCACACACACCACACACAAAAAAATTAAAAACTTTCCAAATAGTTGCTTTGAAGAAAATAATCATTTATTGTCAAAGCATCCAACATACCCAGATAAACTATAAAGTTTAATAAATCTTTCCAGGGATAAAAGAAACACATAACTATTCAGACTCCATTTCACTGGCACAAAATTACACTTTGTATTAAAAGGAAATACATATTTACATAATTGATGACATTCTTCATTGAAGTCCATAATCATTTCATGATACATGCACTTCCCCCTGAAAACTTAAATTGAATGAAGACTCCCCTTTTTATTCGTTTTGTTTATTTTTGTAAGAACACAAACTGTCCTCAAGAAATGCAGAAAGCATCTCACCCTCCTCATTTACTTTATATCTAAAATAAATTTTGCCCTTACATTTAATTATTATGTCTAAACCTTAAGTGCTTAATAATTTAAGTAGAAACGTATGACAAATGCATCAATATGTTGCAATATATGACATTTTTAAAAATGTACCTTTGTTTTTGGGAAAGTGAAAATGCGTGCATTCAAAAGAAAACCCCCTCAAACAACCCGCCCACTCAAAAATCCACCATCCTGTCTCGTGCGTGCGTGTGTATGTGTGTGTGTGTGTGTAATTTTGTGGTTGCGTACGTATGTATTTCTGGGTGCAGTATTTCGGGGCGCAAAGTGGTGGGGGATGTCCTCGCGTGTTTGTTCCTGCAGGTGGCTTGACTGTGCGTGCGCGAGCGTGGAAAGCCGGGGTCCTTTCAGCGTCAATTATGCGAGGTCATGTGCCTGGAGAGGTGGTGGCGCTCCCTGAAAGACTCGTTGCAAATGGGGCACTTGAGTTTCTCCTCCCGCCGCCGCTTCACCAAGGGCTCCATTGCATACTCCTTTTTGTGATGCGACCTCATGTGGTACACGAGGTCAGAGGTCATGCGGAAGGAGGCGTTGCACTTGGCGCACCAGTTCTGCGCCGGCAGACACAGCGAGGTGAAGGAGGGCGGCAACAGCGTGAGCGCCGACGGCAGCTGCAGCTGCAGGGGCCCCGCGGGCGCCGCCGCCCCCCCGGGCC